GGGCTTCTGTGGGGTCGCTCGGCCTCTGCAGCGGGCTCTGACCCCCACCACGGGTCTTCCCACGGGACCCTCTGCTGCGGTCCAGCCTGAAAAAAAAAAAATAATTAAAATAATTAAGAAAAAAAAAAAGGCCCAAGTCCCGTAAGGGCACGCCCTTGCCCGCAGCCCCCCGCTCACACTCAGGTGATTTTTTTGTGCCGAATCCCAGAGGCAGCAAAGGCCGAGCGAGGCCCCGCTCCTCAGCCCCCCGAGTGCTGCGGTGCGCAGAGCAGCAGAAGAAAACCAGCGCGACCCAACCCTCGACGCCACTGTTTTCAAGCAGAGAAGCGTCGCCTTGCGCCAGCCCCCCGTGCCGCCACCAGCCGCGCTCCCTCCGAAGCCGCTTCTCCGGCTGCCCGTCGGCATCATCCCTGCGGAACGCTGGACCCCCGGAGCCCTCAACCCGCCGCCCTCCCGCTCCCCCAACGCCGCCAAGGGCAGCGGGGCCGGGAGAGGGAGCGGGCAGCCTGCGGCCCGCCAGCACTGCTTGGCCCGACGCTTCCCCGGGTGGCCACCTGCGGCTCAGTGGTGCTGGCCCCACGTGTCCCCTCAGGGGCCGGCACGTGGCCGCCGGCATCCTATCGTGACAGTCGGCCCAGGCTCTGGTTCCACCATCACAGAAGACACTTGCTGCAAGGCCCTTATAGGGATAAGTAATACATCTAATTACCATATCCTTAGAATAGATGTAATATAAATTTCATTACTCACTTAAAAGTTCTAAAGTTAACAGCATAAACTTGAAGTTGAGTAATTAAGTAATCCTTATATAGACACTTATTAAAGTATTTATACATATTATCTTAAATCTACATCTATCATTTTGCCAATTAAAATTAGGACTTTAATTGCAATTAAGTAATTTAATTGCCAATTGAACAGCAAAATTGCTAAGTGACTAATTTTAATGCCTATTTTAATTACCAATCATGACTGGGGAGGGAGCTAATCAAGCAGTATCAGAGTAATGATGTGAAAAAAAAAGGGAGAACAAACATTCAAGACTACATGCTTTTAAAAAAGAGCTCTAAATTAAATAAATGCAAACACAATTTCATACATGTGGGGAAATGCTGTATTTTGGTATCTAAATACATGAGCACAAAGAACACGTTTAATTGAAAAGAACCGTCGCTCTTCCCCCAAAGTGCTGAGCATGAATCGCCCTCACCCTGTCTTTCTGCATTTGTCTCCCCCGAAGGGAGCCCCAAACCTGAGCGCGGGAAGGAGATTTGCGCTGTCAGTGGCCCCGGAGGCTGCGCTCCCCCGGAAATCGGGGCTTAAAACCAGAAAATCTGCGAGTTCAAGAAGACCCAAGCCCCCCTCGACAGCAGGCACGGGGAAACAGGGCGGCACTGATGGGCCAGAGGCCCCCTGCACCCCCAGGTGTGCCCACGTGAGACCCCCCCGTTGTACCGCGGGGCGAGGGGACACCCCCAGCCCGGCCGCCACGGGGCACAGCCGGAGCTGTTATCCCCCACGGCGCGTCTTGGTGCTGCTCCCCCCCATCCCGGGGGCCCATTCCGGCTCCTTCCCCGAGGAAAAGCGCAGGCATGTGCGCATACACGCGTGTTCACGTCGAGGCACACGCACGTCACTGTGCCCTCCCGTTGGTGCTTAACGGGCCCAACGGTGAATCACGAGCAGTCCTGGTTTTGCTCGTTAGGGCGGAGGGCTCCCCTGGGAGGGCGGGCGGCAGCCGACCCCGCAGGCCGTGATTTGGGGACCGCCCGTGCGTGGGCCTGCGCCACTGCACCCTCGTTTGCAATAAAAGTGCAAAAAACCTCCCGGTGGCTCCTGCCCGCGAGCGCCACGGATTCCCAGGGCCCGAGGGAACGGGATGGTGTTTGTTTAAGATTAAGCGACGCAGGAACTGAGTGGTGGCGGCCGCAGCAGCACCTCTATGAGGAGACGGCCCGCGATGGGATCCAGCCCCACCGGGGAGTTTCCGTTGTTCCGGGCACAAGGGCAGAACATCGGCCTCCGGCGGGCCGTTGGTGCACAAAGTCTGTGCTGGGGCGCCAGGGTGCCGCGTGTCCTGCAGGCGGGTGCCTCGGGGGACAGGCGGGTTTGCTCCTTCTCTTCTCCCCCGCCAGGCCCGTGCCCTGCGGAGTGAGTGACGAGGGTGCTGCAGCGGCAACGCGGCATCTGCCCCGCGGCAACATGCTCCTGACCCTTGGGCTGCGCGCACGGACCTGGTTAAACTCGGGGCCAAGTTTCGGGATGGTGTTTTGGGAATGGGAAGCTTTGTTTCCTCTTCAAGAGAGTGGGTAAGAGTTACAAGAAGGCAGCGGGTAACAGGAGACACGACGTGTGGAGTAGGGGACCCCCGCTCCAGGCCGAGAGCCCGTGGCCCTGCCGAGGGACGAGGCCCCCGCAGCACCCATGGCCTGTCCCCGCTCTCCGAACACGCGCCGCAGGACGCTGACACTCACACACCGGGGTTACCACCAAGAGACCAAAACGAGCCGTACCACGGGTACCTTCCGGAGGGGAAGAGGAGTAAATGCATCCTTCTGTCCAACTTCACTTCAGCACTTCTTTACGTGAGGTGCAACGTCCCCAGACCCAAACCCAGCCCGTGACAGATCAGTGTCTTCGCTGCGGCGGCTGCTGCGCTGGCACTGACACCCCAACAGCCAGGCCAACGGCCCCAGCCCCGGCGGTGAGTGGGAGCGCGGGTGTCCGTCCGTCTGTCTGTCCCACAGAGCTGGCCGGTGTCCCCACGGAGAGCAAGCAGCTGGGACGGGAGTTCTGGAGTCGGCTGCTGATGCAAAGATCGAGCCTTGACATGAAGTTCAGGCCCCGACCTGAAGTTGTCGAAGCCCCAACGTAACGCTCAGGCCCCAGCGTGAAGTTTGGGGCCTGACATGAAGTTCAAGCCCCAACATGAAGCTGTTCATGCCCCGACAAGAAGTTCAGGCCCCGACGTGAAGTTCAAGCCCCGATGTGAAGTTTGAGCCGTCTGAGTAGAGAGGGGGGCTTGTTGCCAGACTCACACGCGCCCGGAGCAGCTGGGCACTCCACAACCTCCCTTGCATTTTCCTCCAAGTCCCACAGGAGCATCCCTCTGCCGTCCATCCTTCTCTGAGCCCCGTCCTGGGCCTCAGCCACGCTGGCGGGGCCCGACGGCAGAAGCCGTCAACTTTGGTGTCGTTGTTTTCCGCCCAACACGCGGCTCCTCGACGGGCGGCCGCAAAGCCGCGCTTCCCTCCCTTGCCAGCGGCTGGCAAGCGCGGCGGGGTGGGGGTGTGTGTCCGTCTGTGCCCCCCCAAAAAAGCCTTCCCCGGGGGTGTCGGCATCCGCGCCGGTGACAGCCGGCCCGGGAGGGAGCTGCCCCCACGGGTGACACGCGTCCGCGGGCGTCCCGTCACGGGCAGCGGCGCCCCCC